GATCATTCTGTATGCAGACTCTAACTACATCATGCATAAATATTGTACACAATGAAAATAATGCATAATAATATTGTAAAGTGTACCATCGTGTTTAATAGTATTATGTAACAAAGATAATTGTTTTTTAAATGCACCTATAGGTACGTATATTATATGGATGGAAAATTATAATTGGATATATTTTAGGTATAGTCCTATAGGTATCTAGGTAATAATTCCTAAGACCAGGAATGGAAAACGTTTTACATATTTTTGACTATCGATTTAAAAAATATAGTTTTTGTTGAACGTTTTTTATAATTTTGCTTTTTTTTTTAAATTTTTATAATAATTAACTCGCAATAGGTATATTATAGATAGGACGTGCTTAATAATTAAAATGTATTATTCTTAATATTAATATTATAATTATAATACCTATTTAATTATAATATGTATTATGAAAATTAAAAAATATAATGCATTTAAATTTTAAAAGTGTATTAGTAAAGTGAACACTAGCTCTAAGTAAAAAATAATCTTGATTTCAGAGCAACTTTTTGATTTTTAGATGTATATTGTTATGATTGTAGGTACTCGTATGTTAATATACAGTTTATTATCTGCTTAACAATTATGTAAAGTTATCAGGATTACCAATTTTCAATAGCAGAATTACTATTTTTTGTTTTTTTTTTACCGTGGTATGATTTATTTTTGTTTTTGATTTCGTTTTTATATTTTTTCGGGTTTTGATTTTTTTTCGTTTAATAACGTTTTCCATTCCTGCCTCAAGCCTATGGAAGTATATAAAATATTCGTATACCTACATAAATATAACACAAATGTATATTATTGTAAATGGTAGGTACAACACGGCAACACCAGTGGCGTAAATAAGAGAGGTTTAGGTTACCCCTCTCCTCCCCCCATCTAAAAAAAATATAAAAAGTCCGACTTGTGACAAAAATGTATACAAGGAAATCTTCTTAAAATCTTGGTCGTGTTTAAATAAATATATGTACGTTTATAGATTACTACCGAGCTGCAGAGAACATTTTCTGTTTGCGTTACTGCAGCAGGGAAACTCCCTTATAAGACGCATTTCCATGTATGGACTATGTATATATATTAAGCGTGAGGTCATGAGCATTTACCAGGCACCCATCACGCTTATAGTTATACTGTTTTCTGAACGTTTTAATTAATATACGATAACCGCGTACAGACGAATTCAAATTTCAAAGTATGTTCAAACGGAGCCCTGCAGCGGTATGACACAAACAAGTAACAATATTATGTAATATGAGCTATTTGTATAACTCTAATATTATCGCACAACGTACCCATAGTAATATCATTACAACAATTATGTTAGCAGCATTTTCTGCAGGATCGATATTTTTTACTTACATGTAGGTATACTATATAGATGAATAACAAGAAAAAAACTTAGGTGGGTCTACGCCTGGACATTATGAACAGTCTACTCGGAGAGATGATGAAAACGATTTTTTGCATTTCTTTTTGTACCGTGGTACTATATATAGGTACGTTCACCTCCATCCTCCTTGAAGTATTGTCATAACTTGTAACCATCAGTCATCACGTCATAATATTTAGTTTCCGTGAGGTCCTATATTATATAATGATGGGAGCTTCGAGTGTACATCAATTAATAATATAAATTAGCATTTCGGTTATCTGCAGTCAAATCAATTACATTATCAATACCGGGGTATGGGTAAACTATAATAATTGTTTAGTTTCACAACCAATTTCAGACGGGTAAAAAAATTAATAGTCAGTACTATAATACAGGGTGAGTTTTTAAGCATGCTCATCCTATTTGTATGCATTAATTATGCAGTTTATTAAAATTCAGATTTTTGGAATTTTTAAATACACTTGAAGACCACTTTTTGAATCATTGAAGTACCACTTAAGAATGATTCTGCGACAATACAAATTTCAGTTTAAATATGAACCTTTCTTTTTAATTTTTAATTATTCAGCAGATATTTTGTTTAAATTTTGTTACATCTAAATCAAAATAATTCAAGCTTGTAGTTTTTGAGTTAAGTACTTAACTTTAAGTTTAAAAGGATAATATGTCTATGGTAATGGGTTAAGTAGATAGGGGGCTTAGATTATTTGGAAAAGTTAGCAATTACTATTGTTTTATCAGTATAAATAATTTGTAAAAATGATCATAAATATTACATCTAACATCATTACGTATAGTTTTTATTTTTATAAAACCATTTTTACTATTATTATCCTTAGTATAAACATTTAATAACTCAACTCATTAGAATTTTGATTTATAAACATCAACACTTCCAAAAAATCATCCACTAAATAATGTTCAGTAAAAAAAGGAGTCAGGAGTCTCCCGAAGTAGTACAAAAAATAAAATAAATTTGAAAATATGGTCTTTATGTCTATATGTCTAATTAAAAATTCTAAGTCAGAATCTGAATAAATGTATTTTTTTTATTAGCTTTCTGAAATACAATGATAGCTCGACAATTACAGTGGAGAATAAATGTATTATTAAAGGTAAAGGAAAAAATCGTTGTGAGCATGCTTCAAAAATTACCCTGTATATGTGTGGTATAATAGAATAATATTATTTATATAGAGTTATAGCCGGAGTTGTTCTTGTTCCGTATTTAGAGAACAAAGAGAGTCATACAATTATTTTATACCTACTCTAAACAAATGTAGTTTATGTGTAATAAACAAAAATATTGTAATAATATTATTATGTCACCCTTTGTCTTGACCAAGAAAAAGATACCATACACTTACTGTACCGGTCCATTATAATTTGCATGTACATACTATGTGTTAACATATATATTATATATTCTATCTCAGGCATGACATATGAGTAATGCACCGCGAACAATAGTTATATACAAAAATAGATCAAATCCGTCTTCAGTGCTTAGGTATACTATAATAAATAATAAATTAACGATTTTTCTGTTTTAAATCAAAGAATTTTTCAATATAACGAAAATGATGGGGTAAGCTATACAGTTATAACTTATACTTACTATAACAGGAGTCTAGATTTTATATTAAATACATATTACACAACACTGCCAGTCAAGCTAGTCAACTCGATCGGTGCTAAGATCACCACTTCGATGAAGCAAAAAAAAAAAACCAGTTCCAAAATTGTGTAAATCAAAATCTGCACCAAACAATGTGTACATAATATTATTATTATTATGTAAACAGCGTGAAACTGCCAGTTTCTGAAATAATAATTACTCAAGAGCTGTACCTATATATAGGTAAGCTGTAAATGGCTGATTCGACCTCAATCATCCCCGCCAACAACCGCACTGAACGATAGTTGTTCCAATAACATAATAGATGTACATTGTACACACACAGAAGTGATATTTCCGAACAAGCGGCGGCGGCGGTGGTAGTTATCGGTACAGAATTAACTCCTACCCTTAATCAATATTATTCATACTAAACCCCTTTATATCGCAGCTGCAGCTTAACCGACCACATCCACTGCACGGGCATATTTTTTTTGTCGTCGTTATAATTAATTTTTTATTCAACACAATAGTCTGGGGCAACATCTGACGCTTGATGAAGTATTCAAGTATAAGCTATATCATACAGGTACTACGGTTAAATCAGTACTTCTGCACTCCAACGCAATGACGAAATAGTAGAACTAAGGTCCGAAATAAAACGTTGGATACAGTTAAATTCGAGAAATGTTTATACTTATATTATATTTTATTTAATATATATAATAATATAATAATTAATAATATATTAATAATATAATATATATAACTATACTAGTTTATGTTTGCCAAAGGTATGTTAAACGATTTTACTTATAACGCAATTTAACAAGACTGATTTAGCAATTGGCTAATGCATTCGATAAGTTATGTATGGGCGAGGTATACGGAAACAGCAAACGAAAGAAATAATAATACATCTAAACAACGGAACGCAATCGCGTCCTCCACCCAGAAAAAGAAATTACAATTTCAACGATATTATGAGCAATAGAAACCACATGCCAAACTGCTACACTATAATTTTAAGTTGGAAGTTTTTTATCTTTATTTCTGGTAAAATTTTGACAGCAAAGATCTGCGAAATAAAATAAAAAAGTTTAATGAATTTATGTATACTATATGGTAAGGTGCTTAAGGTCTTGTAGGTACTTGCCAACATCGTGCACACGTTATTCGCCTACATTTTGGCTATCGGTATAATAACGATGTAACCACGGTCAACATTTAACCGCGAACAGTGTGTTGAGTCGTATACGTATAATGCATACCTATATTTAAAAAATAACCCAAGAGCTGAGAGCGACGATTAAAGGCATAGATTTATTTATCTTAAAAGTAGCTTGTACCAAGGTTCAGATACAAGATAATATAAATGCATAATCACCCCCCAGCTGCAACCCGATACAGTAATCGGCAGAATTTGGACTTGCATCAAAAAACCGACGCTTACCGCTATCGCATGAGACTAAAAACTTTAACGCCAAAACGAATAGATAAAACGTTACATCGTGTAAATAAACAGCAATACCTACCTACATATAATAGTACAACTTTTTCGAATCAAAAGGTTGACTACCTATTTATGACTATCAACACATAATAATGCTTCTTAAAAGTGTAAACCCAGTTATAGATGAGAATATGAGACCAATGCAATTTTTAGATACAACGCTGAAATGACTTCTTTTTTTTAAGAAAACTCTAATAAATATGCATAATTTATAATATATAAAATATCAATATATACATATATAATATATATAGTTCTTATATTATGTATTGGAACTTAATACAATTATGATGACACTCGAGTAAATTTCACCTAACTATGTTTCACATAAATGTTTGAGGAATATATAAACACAAACACGTAAGAATTTGTTTTCTGTTGTAGGTGAATGTTATAGACTAGTAAAGCACAAAGATAAATAATAATTTAAAAAACATATATAAAATAATTCAATAAACTGGCTCAGTTTTATTAAAATTAAAAATTTTAATTTCATGTTGCATAAGGCCATCCAAAAGAACCACGTACCACATTTTTAGTGCTATGTAGTAGAGTATCGTTAAAATAACACGTGGCACAGGACCGAAACACACAAAATAAATTGGCCAAAAATAGTAAGTTATGGCGAACTTAACGATTTAAACATTATCAATACAGCCTTTCTAGATAAAAATAAAAATTGAAAAAGAAGGAAAATATATAAACAACAGTTTTATCTTATGGAATCACCAACAGTACACTGACAATTCGCCGCTGTGATCTTTGCTGGTATGCCTCCACGAAGTTGCCGACAACGATTTAAGCTGCAAAAAATATAACAGTTTCGATTAAATTATGAATAAAAAATAATAAATATACATAAAATAATATAATAATAAATTTAAATAAAAATCAACTTCCAGTAAACAGAGTAAGTAATAGCGGTATTTAAATCATCAAGAAAATTCGTCGCCTTGTTAAACATTTATAAGTAGGTATATGTACAAGGTCAACAAGAGCGAGTTTTATTATTTAATTGTTTAAAACACATATCAAACACAATTCAAGTATTGTATAGAATGTCAGTCACACAATAATAGAATCTATCATCTAAATTATAAGAAATATAAAATAATTTAAATTTTCATTAGTAATATTTTGAACTGTATGATTTTCTTAATAAAATAAAATATTTAAATAAGGTATACAGTTATTATTAAGTACCTACATAATATATCATTAAAAACTTTAAGAAATCTTAAGTAAGTCAATTATTTAAATGTCTTATACAAATATACAGCTGTCTTTGCTATAAGCCGTTTAGTTACAATACATATTTCAATTTGATTTAAAATAGGACCTAACCTTGGATGTAAATAAACAAAAATGAATTAACTGAAGAATGATTAAAATTCTTATTTAAATTAACAAAGCAAATATTCAAAATAAATTTAATACAAATATTATTTAACAAGTTATTTTCATTAACATACCCAAAGGTAAAAATAACAAAATTCAACTAAAGAATATTCTGTATTTTATTATTTATTTTGTGATTCAACTTCAAAGTCCATAATTAATAACATTTGCTTATAATGTAATCACTCATCAGTATTCATAGCCACATCGTTAAAAGAATTCTTAAATTAATAAGAACGAAAAAATAAGTTAAGATACAACAAAATTGTATAAAAATGTTTTTAATAAATAGGTATATTATGCAAGTTGTAAATACAAGTAATAAGATTAAGATGGATAAACGTTTAAAAGATTTATTATGCATATAGGTATATTAATTAAATATTTATATAGGTGCTTATAAATTTATATAATACATATATCATAATTCATGGGTAATAAATGTAATATGTATGTATATTATTATTTACTTTATTTTTCGAAGTATTAATTTGGTCAATAATAGGTGGTTTGCGCACAAGTAGACATGTTAAATCAATTTAAAAATGTGTGAAGACAATAATAGATATACCTACTTAAGTTTGTGTCTACTCGAAGGTCAACGAGTTTCAAACGAATTAATGTTTACTACATATTACCGGAAAGCTATGATGAAGAGCTTGTATTAAAATAGCTGTAAAACTTGATATAAACTTCGTATAGTTGGACCATACATTTATATTATATTATAGTATATAAATATTTTTTCTGCGGCAGCAATTACAGTAAGACATAACAATAAAAATTCAAAATTCACCATACATTTTAACTATAATTAGCCCCATATTATTACTCATCAATCATCACATTCACATAGGTTTTATTGGCTTTTGATTAATATGTTTAATTATTTTGATGAAATATCCAATAATATTTGAATTGTCATTTTGTTTATCCAAAAACTAGTTTCACCATCAAAAATGTAATCCGTTTCATCATGATACATTTTATTATGAACTTATATAGTATAAATTATAATATAGCTTAAGTATGGTTGTAAACCGATCGACTGAAGAAAGATTCAATGGCTAAATTTCTATTTCAGTATAATATAATAGTTAATAGTAACACAAATATTTGCCTAGATTATATAATACAACATTTATTTTAGCAATTAAATATAACACATCGTAGATATAACAGACAGTTAAGTTGCAAAATTCAACATCAGAGCTTGTAAACGGTTGGGCATTATCTATTAATTCTTATTGAACGGTTATTGAAGTAATTCGTGGAAGTAGTATAAAATAGTAACAACAACAAATAAAATGAAACTGAATAAAAATTATTTATTTAGATATTCACCACATTCTAGGACTGAAATCAATGTTCAATTTTAATTTAATATGCCAAATGCTAATCTTGGTGTCTTAACACTAATTTATTTTGAACGAGCACTAATAATAATTACTCTTTTAAACAATAGTAGGTAACGAAAATGTTTTAAATATTCGTTTTTAGTTAAGTACAGAATATAAGTGATAAAATCATTTTTTTTTCTATTAACATACGATGACGAAATATTGAGTACACTTTTAAGTAAAAATACGTTTTATTTTTATTTTTAAGACCATATAGTTAATTATTCTGTATTCCGTAATAATAGTTCCACTAAAGTTTACTTTTAAATCAAATATCAAAACGCATGGGTACAACTAACAATTGCTATATGGTATGATATTAATATCATTGAAATATTAATTAATTGCGAAAAAAAATGATGACACATATTCTTACATTCCATAGGTAGATAATGTTAATAAATACATATATATCGGTATACAACGCATTAATTTACGATAGCCTATATAATATGCAATTAAAAATTGACAATGTACCGAATAAGTTATAATATTATTATATGTTTAAGGTTTCCGATACCAGCTATTGTACCTTGTAAATAACATCGGTATAAAATTGATGGTGCAGTACAATATACGTTATTCATACCTACAGACTGCAGTTATTTGGTTGGATAAAAATAAACGAATAATAGTAGGTGTAAACAAAATGTATATAATAATTTATACCATACACATATTATTATATAGTGACACTATAATATTTTACTTTTACCAGAACAAAGCTACCCAGACGTATTTTTTCGCATATACATATTATTTATTACATAGGTTCTTGTATAATATTGTAGGAATCTGTTATTCTATCTATACTATCTATAACGCGCACATACTATATATTTGACGTACACCGTAGACAGTTCGTATAAAGAAATATCGAAACATGAATGTATATTATAACAATGAAGGCGTACAAATAAATAAAACAACATTGCTGCAGTATAATATATAAAACTAAGCAATACACGATTGTGATTTTTCTAGCTGATGTATTATGTTTTCACAAGAAATAATAAAAAAAAACCATCTTAGTATCTTCCACGGTGAAAAAATACCTATAATAATATTATACCAATAATTCTTCGTACATCCATAGCTATAATTTAGGATACTGCGTATTATTGAATGGGCGCCGGGCGGTTGGCAACCGTGACAGCTGCATTATAATAATAATGCAATGGATATTATAGACAGTGTGTCGTATAAGTAGGTATAATATAAGAATATAGTAAGCATAACCGGGTCCTCGATCGTGGTAGTAAAATGTATTAAAGGAATGTGTGATCGTTGTCTCATGGGTGTTAAGTGGGCGGGCAACCGACCGAGGAGTCGGTTGACTTGAAGAGGGAAAGAAGAGGAGAAAGACGACGATGCCGTTTGTCCGGCACCAGAAGATTCCAAGACTATACTCGGACCACCGACGTTTCGTTTCAAAACACAATACAAATAATATGTGTGTATGTGTGTGTGTGTGTGTGTGTGTGTGTGTGTGTGTGTGTGCGTGCGTGCGTGCAATATATATTATATGGTATGCAGGCGTATGACTATGATGAGATCGGCCGAGTAAAAATAGCGGGAAAGGTGACCTTCAGAGACTTGTTTACTTCCAACACAGTCTAATTCACTTTACACAAAATACTTGGAGAGGAAATGAATAGAGTTGTAGCTAGTAGTATAGTAATCGTAGTAGTAGTAGTAGTAGTAGTAGTAGTAGTAGTAGTAGTAGTAGTAGTAGTAGTAGTAGTAGTAGTAGTAGTAGTAGTAGTAGTAGTAGTAGTGGTAGTATACTGTTGGTAATAGCGCGTAGCTAGGCGGAGCGGAGAACTAAATAATAAAATAAACTCGTACTCTTTCCTTTGGCCCGTAAACTAAAAAACAATAGTTTATACTTTTATATAATACGCACGCTCACAACCTCACATAATAACGATCGATTTTCAAAAAACAATGCGGCCTAAGAATGTACATAATATTTCGATATGTATATTGTATTAGTATATAACACACCAACACACCTCGGTTAAGTTCGTATTTTCAAAACGCACGCAATTTTTATTCTTTAACATTTTCATTTTTCTGAACGAAAATCGATCGTGATTAACAGTATGTAACGCAGTTCTCTTTTATCTTTACCGAATATCTATATATACATACGCCCAACCCAACAGACGGAAGTCAACAACTGAGCAACTCAAGGGTGTTACGCCGAGTAGAGGACATTGGCGACAAAAATCATTGAAAAAGACCACATATTAATTTTTTTTTTTTTGAAATTAATTTATTAACATTACCAAGCGAATACGTGTTAAAAGAGAAACGGAATTCACATTAATACCGTTAAACAACACTTTGTATTTAGAATGACCTTTAAATTTGTGTACATTTAGGTAGGATTGTAGGAACATTACACTTGTTTAAAATAATGAATACAACTGTAAATTGTAATACACTATAATTTCGCCCAGTAAAATAGCCAATAAATTAAACCTAACCTAACCTATATTATACTTTTCTATAAGGCGTGTTGTGTACGTCTTGTTTGTTACAAACATTTTTCTCTAGATCTTTATCTAATACTCAAACTTCAATGATATACCAAGTATACTGGCTATTCCAAAATGTTAAACGTATCATTAAACGGAAAATGTATTTATAAAAACTGTTTTGCGTAGGCACCTTCTAAAATCAATACATTTATAACTGTTTTAAGATAAAGTAAGCTAATATAATAATTATCAATAAACTATTTAATAGTAATAATCACAAGTCGTCATGAAAGTTGCAACAAAATAAAAGACTAGTTATTATTTAGTATCTATAGGGTGTAGACCAAAGTCATAAAAAATAGTAAAAACATGTTAGCGTAATACTACGCACATGAGTCATGTATTTGTTTAATACATCGACAACATGGTATACATGTTATTTAACTTAAAAATAAAAATAAAACCTTCAGGAAAAAAACGTAATTTGTACCTATTTCAAGTATTTTTAAAATCTCTCCAAAAATGCATGCAAACATTAAATCATCATGGTAAGAACGACTTCTGTCTACCTATAAAGATAAACCTACTATAATATATAAATAACATAACCAGGCCGGTGTTTTTGGCAAAGCCCCAATAGTAATTCTACATTTTTAACTAGTAGTAAACGTAATCCAGGCGTGTGAATTTTTGATATAATATTCCATAGGTAATTTGTTTGTACATTTTTTCTTTGTCTCATTATAAACATTTCTACCTGCGCTACCGTGTTACTTAATGTAGGCATGCATTAGAACGTGTGTAACATGATCATGAAATTTATTTTTATTTTATTTTCCGTACAAACAAGTTTATATGCACAATTATTAAGATTACCAGAAAAGAAAAAATTTAATATTATGGTTTAAAATAATATTAATATATTATACAAAGTAAGAACCAATCGAATAATTTACAGAATAAAATGAGTTTAGGTACAATATAGAATTTATATGAATGTATAGTGTTATGTATTATGTTGTAAGTGTATAGTTAACACTTAACTCATACAAATAAAAATGGTACCCGCAGCACATGTGGTTTATTTGAATTGGGTATATTTTTAAAATATTATTATGTTTAGTTAATTGTTGCCAACTGTTAAGACATTGGCTTTTAAAATTAAAATATTACAATTGTTGTATATTAGTCAAAAGGTAATTAAAAGAGCAATGAACGAGAAAAATCAAGATAAGATGTGTAACACCTAGTGACCTTCTTACATATTATACCCTATCGTTATAGCCTTATAGGTTATAACTTATTAATGTATATTTTGTAAACGTATAAATTATCCAAAAGCAACACAGCCACACAAGTATGAAATATAGAAAAGTATAAAATTACAATAAAAACAATTGATGAATAATATAGATATTCAAATAACAACAATAAAATGTTTAAAAAAACAACCCGTGAATACGAATGTCAAGAGTTACAGACTTCTATAGTGAATGTATATCTACATGTTTTATTGTTAGTCTACAGACTAAAAATTATTTATAGAAATTCGTTTTCATGAACCACAATGTATTACACAATTTAGGCATGTATAAAAAAATCTAGTATTAAGAGGATGTCAGCAGAGTATTTGTTTTCTCTCTCTGACCAATGCGCAACATCCCAAATTTTCGTTTAGCAGCACCAACTCAGTATTATTACTTTTAGAATCAATGAATTTACCGATAATCAAACTCTAATTTCAGAACATAACCTGTGTCGGTATTTTATGATATTTTTATTTAAGTGATGATCGCGTAAATTATTACTGTTTAAATATGTTTAATAAATTGCATAAAATATTAAAATATTGTCAAAAAGCCAACAATGCAACAATTTCATATTCGGAAACAAAATATTTTACAAAGTATTTTGATCAATTAATATTAAATTTCGGACAATTGGTTTATAAACTATAAGTATTTGAAGTTGAGATGAAAAGAGTAGTGGACCAAAATGTTTTGGGATTAGGACCCTGACTATCAATGCCACCATCAAATGCTTTGTTATTGCAATTATAATTAATTTGTTATTAAAATTACATTAAATAACTTAATAAGGAAAGCATAGCATAATATCATATTTACAATATTAGTACCTATTTTTCAGCATTATTATTTTAAGCTTAGTAAAATAAATTTACTAACAGCATATTTGGCATAAATGTTTATAGTTATTACAAATTATTCTAATTATATTTTTATATACTGGATAAAGGAAAAGATTTTTCTATACATTATGATGTAGTAGCCAGTAGGTATGTTTACTGTTCAACCAAATAACAGTACAATTATAGTTATTATAAAATGAATTCTTCTGTATCACAAGACTTTTACTATTAGTAATAATTATGTCTATAGAATTTTTTAGAATGCCAATATTTTCTTTGATATAAATACATATCTAGTTTATCAAAAGATGTTTATTATTTACTCATCTACCAAATCAAAAATAAAGTTTTAAATTGTCTATGAAATGTAGACTTAAATTAAAAATAAGTTATATAAGTACCTAAATGGTGTTCTAAATCAATGTAAAATTGTTATGTAGTAGAAAATTAAATGTCGGAAGACATTTTGTTTAATCCCAACACAAAAATATACTTAATACTTAGAAGCCAATAATAAATCCATATTTGTACCTGTTGCATTTTTTCGAAGTCTAAACAAGGCCTCTGCACGTTACGAGTAGGATGATGCCTTTGTCTGTGTCGTTTACGTGGAGAAGTGTTTGGCAAAGATACAGATTGTCTAGGTGACAAGTGTACTAATTTTAAAGGAGGTGAAGAGGATACAGTACACTGTCCTGGTTTGTGTACATGAGATGGGGGAGACGCACAAAATTTTAATGGAGTTGGTCTAGTTGACATAAGTCCTTGTACTTCATCGTCAGATGAACCTGACCAGCTTACAGCTATTGTGTTTCCACAACCAGCTTCACTAGCTGATCGACAACGTTTACGAGCTAATGATGCTACAGAGTTTTCAGGAACACCGCAAGAATTTGCTTCATCTGGATCAGGTGTAGGTAGTTCAACTTGCAGTAATGCTTCTGGATTACTATTTATAACTTCTAATTCTTCTTCAGAACTGTGTTGATCACAGTCACTGGGTAAAGCAGAGTCTAAGAAATATGGGGAAGGACCAGGAGTGGCAACACTACTGCGACCACTGCTTGAAGACCTTGTAGGTTCCATATCACCAACCATATCTTCATTCCCAATGTTCTCCATTACTATAATAAAAAAAATGTTTCTATATATTTACTAGAAATGGAGTTCCATCAAAACTTAATTCTTTCTTGAAATAATATAATTTTGTTAATAAATGACAAATTGATTTAATCTTATGTTTTTTTTCTGTGAAACCTTTTTTTGGTAGCTAATAGCTATTAGCTAAACAGTTCCAGTTTTAAATTTTCCAATTTACCATAATAATACACCACTAACTAGTGTTAAGAATTACAATGAGTTCTGTGCTCATGCCTAATAATTACTATTCGTATCCAGACTTTTTTCATAATATTACAAACATTTATTACAAACTTGTAAAGCAGTACTTGAACTATACAGATTTTGTTGTTTAATTTAAAAATGTATTATCGCTATTATATTATTATAAAAGTAAATTATTTGACACTGCTCATTATGCATTATTAACAAATTAAAATAGTAATGAAAAAGGAATAGTATAAATATATGTACACATATAACAAAATACCTACATCCTACAATATACTATTATAATATATGGATAATGCAAGTGTACACTATATGGTGTGCATACATACACTTAGGTACTTGAGAGTTTAATTTAAAAAAAAGGGAGGGATAAAAAAAAAATAATAACGGGTGTTAGCAGAATGAATAGGGTTGAGTAGAAGTGAAATAATCGCAGAGGGATGATTGAGAATGCAGAACAGTTCTTTTGTGTCAGTTAGGTCAAGTGTTGCAAAGAGTATAGATATGGTACTATTATGAGAGCATAGCAAATATGAAAACACACATTAAAAAAGAACCTTTCATGCTTCAACAATCTTCAAAATATAAGGGGAAAAAATATATAATATACATATAGTATAGTATTATGCATACAAATATAAAAAAATAAGGTCTTTAAAATATTATCTCCATTTTAATCTGTGACAACTAATAATATTTATTTAAAATTACTCAAACTGTGGTGTCCACCTATATTAGTTAACTATTTAAATTAATATTTAATACAACTATTTTAAAATAGGAATAAAATAAATAAATTTATTTATTTAAAATGGTATCTTAATAATATCTTAATTTATATCATGACAAACTTAAAACATTTATTTAAAATTGCTAAACTCATGATACCTACTTACCTACTAACTATTTATAATATGTTAATTTAATGCAGCCATTTTAAGATAGAATATTTATGAAATATAATTATCTTGTAAAATAAAATATCTCATTACTCATTAGTAAATAATAAGAGCATGTGTATATTCATTTTAATTATATTTTTTCATAAGTTATTTTATAGTAAATCAATAATTGAAGTACCTAATCACTAATTATTAATAAGTTCATAATATTCTGTGACAAGTAAAGAACAATAATTTAGAAAGGTTACTGTGAATAGTGAGTATGAATAATTTGGGTATAATACGTACACTGAAATAATTATTAAAAATACAACAATAATGTAACATTCACAAACTACGAGGAATGTTATTGGGGGGAATCTCGATGTAACACTAGTAATAAATAAGTAAGCTTATATTATATTTAATTAATTTTCATAGTCTGTAACATTTATATTTAATAAGTTGTACTACTTATACCATTATTAAAATAATAAATTCAATTTATTAGCTTATTAAATGTTTAGATTGAAATTATGTACATCTTCTGAAAAACAAGTACATATAAGACAAGCATGGACTATTTGTTGTATTTTTAATAGAATTCCTGAAAATATAGTTACATATTCATTGAGATTATCTAGATATCTAAGAAAAAAATGTTATTCTTAAACTAGTTAAACTCAATTTAAACTAACTTTTAATTATTATCATTTATCATAATATAATAATAATGCAGAGCATTATTGATATCAAACAACTTTTCAATTATTGAAGCAACTAAATTGTTTGATATTCAATATAAATATATAAGAATTTATAGTTCCATTTATTAATATTTTAACAGTAAATAAATGTAATTATTTAATCAAATATCGTCAATTCTATAATAAATACAAGTAGGTAGTCAAATATTATTTTATTTATAATTACTTATTTTTCTGTGTTTTTTATTATTTTTTTTTTTATTGTGTAAAACTAATAGGTATAATATAAAATTATAAATTTATAAAAACTTTTTATTGTAGGAATGTGAAAAAAAATTAATACATTCATAAGTACACCAATAAAATATAAATACATTTTTTATATTAAGATATTATATTGACATTTAATTACGATATTGTTTGTTATTCAATATCACCACATGATATTAATATGAATGAAACAATATAAATACTAAAAATATTTTGTACTGCAGTCTGCAACACTACAATTTATTTGTTATTCAAATATAAAATACTGAGTGATAATGAATTTACGATATGAAAAATTCTTAAAACATCATGATTCACATCCATAATACACCTTGTACTCAGTTATTTTATTTTATTGCTATACTAGTTTAATACATACGTTTTAATTAGATATAATATCACATTCAATCATAAATCTTATGAAGTAAAACATAAAGCCTACACTGTAGGCCCTATAGGTATAAAAACAAGTTATTTAATTTAAATAATAACTTAAGCTTTTTAGACTTACATCGAGTAGACTCAGGTACTCCTGGTTTTGTAATTTTGGGTTCTCTATCGGGACTGTGTTCGTCGTCAGATTCTGTGCCAGAGTCGTGGTCAACAGTTTTTAACTAAAAAAAAAGATAAAAACTATTATAGTTAAGATATTAGAATAGGACAATACCTAGGTATAAAATAATTTTTACTGATAAAAAGATCTTTTGAATATTATGAAAGGATAAAAATACAAATGATTTCTTTTATTGAACTATTGATAATATTAATAATAATAATAATAATAATAATAATAGTAATATTTGCTTGATAAAGACATATTTTAAGAAAAAGTATGAAAAACGTAATATCATTATCATAGAAAATCATTACTAGCTTTATAATAAATTTAAATTACTTAATAAAAAAGTAGGTAAAAAGTAAAATACATAATATTAACATTTTATGAACCAAATTATATTATTAGGTATAGTATTAATTTATATTAACTACTATCAAATATAACATATTAAATAGTATTAAAATACAATGGGACATAGGAAACGGTTGATACACTCACCATAAGAAAACCGAGAGAAAAACTAATAAAAAATAATTCTCAATATTGTTTGACTAATTATTTAAGAATAAGGATTTTATCATTTTATTGCAAAAGACTATCTCTTTAAATTGTTGGTTAAGAGGACGTTGTACCAGCATATGTTGTCTTCATCTTATACAAGGACGAAATAACAAATTTTTGTTCAACCAAATTTAATACTCTGCTATTAGTTTTGATATTAGTGAATTTACCTATGATGAAATGTAAAGGTAAGATTATCATCTAGGGCCCCAAGTAGGCTTTTATTGATATTATTATTTTTAAGTTAGGTAGTTATAATCATTTTAAAATGTACAGTATCAAAAAATTCATAACTTACTTAAAAATAATAATATCAATAAAAGCCAATGTGGGTCCTAGATAATAATTTTACCTTTATATTTTATAATAAGTCAATACTTTCAAATATCAAAACTAACGGCACATTATTTAATCTAGTGAACGAAAAATTTGCTATATTATATATGTGTAAGACGGAGACGACACATGCAGGTACCACATCCTCTTAACTAACACAATTTTAGTAGGTATAGTTTTAGTAGTACCTACATAAGTAAACTTATTTTCAGTTTAAATAGTTATCTTGAAAACCCAAATCAATGTTATAATGTGCAAATATATTTTAGGTACATTCTAAATAATTTAATTACAAAAATAATCAATGGGCCAGGCAAATGTTTTAAAATGTATTTGTTTAAATATTAAGTTATTTTATTTTGAATAAACTGAAATAAGCAACTAAAAATACTACTATAAAATAATATATGTGTAAAAATATAAAAATTTTATTAGAAAAATTAATAAATTGTGGACAAAAGTTTTATATTAAAATGGAGTGTAAAATTATAATATAAATGATAATAAGATATGGCAAAAACATTACCATTAAAGTAGTAGCGAACAAGTGTTAAAAATCAAATGTTTAAATGATTGCAAAATAAGTAAATAAATAAGTAATCATTAAGACCATTTTATAAGATTGGTAATTAGTGTTATCAATTTACTTAGATATTAATAATTATGTAGGTACAGTGTATACGTAATGATTGATTCTTATTTCTTATGAATAGGTACCTATCTAAGAATAAGTAAATATATTATAAATGCATGGTAAATTGAAATATAAATATTTTTCAATAATTGAACAACACCCACAACACAGGAAAATTAATTACTGAAACATTAATATTCATAACATTGTTGAGCAAAATTATATGTAATACGAATAACTAATAGTAATCAATGAAATTCATATGCATTTTTATTAGGCTCATATCTAGTATTGTATTAAAAATAATAGCAGTAAATTATGGTTTACATTTTTAACAGATATTAAATTGGTTAGTAATATTATTATTTTAATATTATTAATTATTGTGTAACTCATTATGATATCACTATATCAGTATTATATTACATGTATTTTGTTATATATTTAAATACCTACATAAATTGTACTGCCTATATTTAAATACATACATAAATTGTAATGTATGTTCTATAACATTGATTTAATAATAGGTGATAATACTGATAGATTCGAGAATAGATCTTTCTAAGTTTTAATATAAAATGTGGATTTATGAGATTTCTTAATTGTGTAGTTTTTAAATTCAGTTTTTTTTTAATACATGCAACTTTGAAATATTAAACATTTATAAAACATTGATAACTTTGAACCCTTCATTAAATCTAAGGACGAAGAGAGAAGCACAGAAGAATTCAAAATAAGTTGTACATATTATTAGGTATGTAGTAAAACGAGTTGGACACTTAATCAGTATACTTGTACGCTATTACACACAAATTACAATAAATTAAATTTATCAAAATAAATATTCTCCAATGATCAATAAAAACATGAGTAGCATTTAAGTATGGCATAAAAATATATAGACACAATGCCAAACAGAATATTTCTGTTATAAAAATCAGTATGTCCTAATATCACTATAATATCATACAGACTTTAATAACAAGACATTTTATTTATTTTGAAATAGAATATAGAAAATAGAAATATATAATTACTTGCCACCTTCACAGAGCAGAACATTGAACATCAAAAGTCGACAAGCATATATACAATACTATCCTATGGTTACCAGGTCTAGGCAAATAAATCTTGGGTGTTGAACGAACAAATGCAAAATAATTTAAAGAACCACACATTTAGAACACAACACGAGATAAGATATTATTATGATTTACATATTATAATTCATAATCTTGTGTATGCCCTAATATTATTAAATCACAGACCTATAAGTTATATTGTGTAAGTAATAGCATAGGTAATAACATAGTAGGTATTTTCATAATATTGTTTATTGTATAGTCTGTGATTAAACCAGCAAAATCACTATCAAAAGCAGATAATATGATAAAGCAACAAAATTATGGAATAGATTTCAAACTAAGGTGAATTAATTTTGTTAATCGTCGTCGCGATTTCCTCGAAATTATCCGGAAACCAAATATAAAAAGACGTTGCAAATATAATCATCGATACATTAGAATTCCTAGTAGAGGAGTGTTGGTTGTCAGTGGATCATCTACGAAACTGATGTATACCAACACGTAAGTACCCACTACCCACTCATAAACATCATTGAGAAGACGTCGGCGCACTATATAGGTTTATTTGATTGTTTTCTCTTTCTGACCAACGCGAAACATAGCAACAAATTTGAGGTCAGCGTCGTCTGCAGAACCAATCTTGGGTTTTTTACTTTAATACCAAAGTGAATGAACCAGTTGAGTAACTTCTATCAAGAACATACGTCTGTGCTTCGGTTTTCTAACGATATTTCAAATAGTTGCTCACAAATAAAAAATGTCTTTGAAAAAGCTAATAAGAAAACAAAAAGCTAATAAAACAACATGAGCAAATGAGTCCATTCTTCACTCAAAAATCAAAGCCGACTACACAAATATGCCATGTTGCGCGTGGGACGGAGAGAAAACAAACGGTGCGCCGACGCCGGATTTTGACCGCACAAAGTACCAGTACGGAAGGAATTCAGCGGCGATGGGTAGGTGAGTGACCGGTGTAAGTCATGGAAATTTAGAACTAAGTTCTATGGTTTAAGTATAGGTACGTTAATATAGGTACCGGCTGTGTCGCAAGACGAACGGCGTCCAACAAAAAAGCTTTCACGAACTTTCGACAAACACGTTGCAGGAGGACCACCGCAGCGCATAGACAACACGCGCGCACTAAGTTCGCCGACGACGACGAAACCGAAGGCGACCCGCGCAAGTGATTAGAGACTAGCCACCGGACGAATCGCCTACTTGCGTGTGCAAGACGTGTGCAACGCGACGCCACTAGCGTCAACGACGATGATGGATTTGGAGAGGGGGGAAGATAATAATAATAATAATAATAATATTGTATTATTAATATTAACACTTGGTAAGAAAACAGAGTGGTATAAATTGCGACCGAAGCGATGACAGATAATATGCCGCGGCTATGACAATACGACAATATTATATTTTGTAATATTGTTATTTGGTGTTATAACCTACCAGTCGTGTTTTTTAAAATTATATTTAATATTAAGGTATTATTGTGTATCGACTATCGGCGTCGTGTTATCACAACGAACAACCGCGATAATATGTCGGCGATATCGTTGCGGACGGACTGCATGGGAAACGCAATAATCGTACACGCAATAAAATACGCGACGGTCCGCGCGGCCGTTATCGCGACGAGTACTCGGTTACCGGTTATCGTAACGTAGCGTATTGCAAGCACGCAATAGTAAATAATAATAATAATAATAATAATATAGTATTCGATTAAAAATAGACAATGCGCCGCCGCGGCAGCGGTCACATACTATCAGTGAGGTACCTACGCGCGCGATCAGCTGATGAATACGCGCAAACCCACACGAACGAGCGCGGGCGCGCGCGCGCGCGTACGATGAAAGAGAATCAACTACGGCGGCTGTGGTGGCGGTGGCCGAGGCGGAGAGAAAATGTCACGCACACGAGCGCGCTCGTTCCTTTGTTCTCGGTGGGGATGACCGACCGAGAGTGGTGGGGGTTGACCAAAGGGGAGGGGGCCTTTGTGCACACGTTATCAGAAAAAGAAATAACAATTTAATAATATTATTAATATTATTTGATACATTATTATTTATTACTACTGCTAATGATACAACTATTACTATTACTACTACTACTATTACTACTACTAATAATAATAATAATACTATTACTACTAATATTACTATTATTATTACTACTATTACTGTAGTCACTGCTACTGGTGGTGTTGTAGACGCGGACGTCTGGTGCTGCCGGATAATCATTTACCTTGTTGTTTCTTCGGTGATCTTCGAGGCTGTGAGTCTTCAGTTTGTGCGTGACAAATTTGAGCATCATTCGCCGCCCGTCGTCGACCAACCCCTCCCGGGTCGCGAGCGCCCGCTATTTCCGGTTTACGTCGTGCTGCGCCGCGATTTTAGCCGACCGCCGGCGACGGGATCGTTGGAACGAAGGCAATCATAACAACGACGACAATCGTTTTTCTCCCGGCAGGCGAAATCGTTTGCCTCTGACGACCGGCACAGATATCGATGTATAAATATTATTATTATCGAGACGAGAACAGCCACGGGAACGGGTGTGGAGCAGAGAAATGCGTTCACAACGGCGTGACGAAAATATTATTATTATTAACGATAGAAATGACAGTAATAAATCGGAGTCTCAATTCGAGAACACCACCAAATGCTGCAGTGACGGAAGAGGCTTCACGCGCAGTGCAATCTTGTGCGGCGCGGTTCGAACGCTGTGCTCGTACTGTGTCCCGTCGTCCGCGCCGGGGAGATGTGTGAAAAACCAAGCGACGGCGGCGGCAGATCGTGCGCCGTGAGCCAGTCGAGGAGACCGCCCGCCCGCCGCCTTAATATGCCCCTGCCCGACCCACCCGCCGACCCAACGACGCGCACAAAGGACTACTCGCGCACGCCCAGTGTACACCTTCCGCATAATAACACACACACACACACACACACACACACACTGTGATGATGATGATAATAATAATAATAATAGTATATATAGAATATACACTTTGTAGTAAATCCCGTTGTTGTATACATTTTACTACGCCCGGCTCTCCCCGACCCCCGGAGACCGTCACCGACACCGCCACCCAACCCCCGCCAAAACGCTCGTCGGTCACGGCCTCGTCGCCGCGCCGCCACCGTACGAACGCGCGTGTTTACGCGAGACGACTGCGTGCCGACTATGCGCGCGTGCGCCGGCCGGCCCAGCTGACCGCGCGCGCACCCCGGCCCCAGACCGATCACGACGACCAGACGAGAGCTGCAGCTAACCCGTTGTACGACTGCACTAGTATTTACGAGTGAGGTACGTTTCGTTTTTCAGCAAATGAAATTCCTCATACGAATTTCTCACGGTTTTCTGGAGTTCCTATAACTGCCTACAGTGGCGACGGGACTATTGCATACTTGAAGCAATTGCTTCATGTCTAATATAGGTGGGTCGTGGCCGGTATAATTGTAACACCTCAACACAATAATTGTCATAAAAAATACAATTATTAATATAATATATTATCATTGGGGAGTAATAAAAGGCTTGGTAGTAAAAATAATTAAAAATGTACAATTTGCTTCGATTACTCAAAAAGTTTTCGTCGCCACTGCAGACCGCCTATACCACGGAGTGGGGTCTTAAGTTAACTGTTAGCACACAGAGTTCGTAATTTGATCGTCGTGAGCCGACGCAGGTCTCATCAAGCCCACTACTTTAAGAACTGATTTAGGGGTGCGCGATGAGTGTGGGTGGCTATGGGGAGGTCCAGGTCCATGTCGGTCGAACGACGATAAGCATTGACAATCTAATCGTGGTCTGCGGGGCACATCCGTTCGCTCGTCATCACCATCGCCGTGTGAACATTGAAGTATTGAACAATTTGAACATTGCACAGTGCCAGTGTGCCACAGTGGTCGCCGCCGCCGCCGCTCATAGCGCCCCCATCGAACGTTGTCGGGTGGGCAGCAGCGGCGGCGTTGTTGTTGTTGTTTAGTGAATGAATGCGCGAGTATACGCGCGCATACGGAAAGAAGGATCTTGGTGAAAGGGCGAGTGGGCCAACCCTCTGACACTGTATAGTACATTATACCGGGCGGTGCTATAAGTATACCAACGCGCGCACGTATAGATTATAATATTAATATATTACATTATTATCATATTGCTTTTTCACATTCCACATTCGAATGACGTACTATATGAAACGCGATATGAGACGATGTGTCTGCATTATTATATTATAATTTTTTGTTATAATAATATGTGTTACTGATGTCTTTTTGTGCGCATCCATTACAGTGTATTCGTATAGGTAGTGCTTAAAGTGGAAGAGAGCCGCAAGGGGTAATGGTCTTCCTAACTCAGAAGCGGATTAAAATCCGTTCCCTTTATAATATTTACTCCAAAAGGGATATCGGTGGGCTAAAAAATGACTGAATAATATTAAAAACATTTTTATTTATTTCCAAAAGTGTTATGTTTTTATTATTCTATATTTTATTACTTCGAAAGACCAAAATGTTTGAGAACTATCGTTGCGTTTAAGTATTATGACCACACTGTCCGACTGTCGATGTCATTATTTATAATAATAATAGTTGAAATAGTTCATAAAATATAGTGTATAATAATTAATAACTAACAACTTGGTTCATCTATAAAACTCATGACGTCGATTAAACTCGATTGTGTAAAGGTAAATTTTGAGTAATTAGAAATAGAATGCTTGAAGTCCCAAACATATTATATTGACTATTGCATCCATTCGGTTTGTAGTTCACACCCATGTCACTTATTTTACCTGTTGAGATACCGTCCCGACGGTTTTCAACTCGTGGTACTGCGGTAGCCGGTGGGTTCTGTTCTGTGGCCTGTGTCTATATGAAGTCAGAATCAAAGATGTACAATAGTTAGGTGTGTACTAATGTAGTTGTGTATACCCACTGCAGTATATTATACAATAGTATTAAATATAACTATAGTTGTAAAACGTTGTCACTGTTTAACATACCCATACGACTGTCGGCGTCACAAATTTTATGTTTTATATTTTTATATCAGAATACAATATGTTATTATACTTGTCCGTGTGGCTGTGACAAAATACTACTTCTCGATGTTTCGAAGTTTTTTTGTTAAACCGGTGTGAGTAAGTAGAGTTTATTTACAAGATGAATTGGTTTAGACGAGTCAGGAGTTACCGAGTTAAGAACAAATGGTATGCGTGCGACGGTCAACCATTTTAACATGTAGTTTACGTTCTTTCTTTAGTTGAACTCCTATTGAGTAAAAGTAATTTTTTCTCGACCTTGATTTGAATATACTCGAAAATGTCTCTAACATCTACACACAACAAGGTTAACATTCACCTTTTATAAAATATTGTTATAATCAATTTATTATTTACATCATGAGTAAATATTAAATATTCATAAATTGTTTTTTCGTCAACACGTTAAATGGCACATTTATACATCACTGCAAAGAATTGTGTTAAATTATAATTCAATGATATAAAACCATTTTATAAGAAAAACGATTCTGAAGGAAAACGGTTTGTCAATCTATAATATTACTTTGTAAGTTAATATATTTGATGATATTATTGTGACTAAAATAATTTATTTCACTAATTAGTATAGTTAGCAATTTATAGTACTCTACAGTAGATTTAATTAATTGTTGCCAAAAAAAAAAATACGTTTGAAAATGCATTGTATGAATAAAGTATAATAATATACTTTTAAAGTTTCAAATACCATGAATAATATTTTTCTAATTTACTACAAAATAACATATTAAATCATTATTCTTGGTTATTTAATACGTAATTTCATCCACATTTAAAAATAAAAAATAAATAAAAATAAAGTTTATATATTTTTAGATGTTTTGGTTACAACTTACAAAATAACCTACCTGCTTGTAACATAAGGGTATTAAATGTTAAGCCCTTCGCTATAAAAGTTGAACATTTAAAAAAATTTAAACATACAATTATTTGTACATTTTGAATGATATGAATTTTGTCAAAATTCGAACTTTCGAGGCTTATAAAAAAAAATACATATACAGTTTTAATATTTTTCAACTGATATTATAAATATATATCAGGAGCCTTGTGTTCAATTTTCAAGCTTTTTGACGGAACAAATAACATTTTATTGATATTTATAGAAAAAAAAACGAAAATAGTTGAAAATTGAAAATGTCCGTAAACGGCTCAAAATGAGTCAAAATATTTTGAATATTTTCAAGTATATAGGAAATAAAAAACAAATATTTTGAGTAAATTTCAAATATCTACAGTCATTAGTTTTTGAATTACAACAAAATAAGAAAATTGGTATACATGAGAAATACAGTGAATATCCAATGTTGTACAAATTTCAATTTCAAACACTCATAAAAATTTAATTTGACTTTCAGGTAGAATTTTTTTTTTTGACAAAGGTATACAAACTTATGAGGAACCTTGCATATACATTGTAATATTTTGAAAATTGTATGGTTTATAGAAAACGCTGGTATAAACATTCAGTGAATATTTCATGTGTCTACGTTATTTTTTTTAGAATAACTTCAAAAACTGAAAATCGATTTTATCGCAAACCGGGTTTCCTTAAAAATTCCCGTTTTTCAGTAATATTTTGTTTGTTTTTCCTGCTGGTTATGAAAAATTGGAAATTTCTTTCTCATAACCTCTCATAAAAGTACCAACTAGATTCACTTTCCTATCAGAAAAATGGGGTTGGAGA